TGTTTTGATTGATGTTTTGACTGGGGAAGGAACTGATGCGCAGGCAGCTCTCCAAGCCGAGTATGGCCCAGGCTCCGCTGTGTTTATAGAATGTGGCGTCACAAAGAATGAAGATTTGAAATGTAAGTTCTGTATTAATGCATTAATATTATTTATATATTATATCATCACCCCAAAACCCCCTAACCCCAACCAGCTCATGAAACCTGCGAACGTTCCGTGTGTGATAAGGTGTTTGCCTGTAGGCGAATATGGTCTATTTACAATTTTGAGTTTTGGTTCTTCAGGCGCCATGAATACCGTGATCAAGGAACATGGAAAGCTTGATATTCTGTGCAACAACGCAGGCGTCGCTGAACAGCCAGACTGGGAGAAAACTTTTAATGTTAATCTGGTACGTAACCACAATTGAAAATCAATGCCGTAACCCAATCTTTATATGAGTCTATGAGTAATAGATTTGCCCTGATTTGTATACGACTTCAACTTAGTTTTCAGATTATATTTTATCTTGAAGTTTTTAGAAAAATATGCTTTAGCTCATTTTGAAATTTGACAAGAAATATAATGTTTTTTAAATGCCTATAAAGGTTTCCCGCTCATATTTTAATTATATAATAAGTAAAATTCGACCTTATCACATAATTATCTATAAAATACCTTTATTTCTCCATTACTTCAAGTTGATATCTTCACTAGTGAAAATAACACATTCGTTGTATCTCTAAATATTGGAGCTAAATAAAAGCTATTTTAAAACAGAACTTGCTCTCATTGATAATTATATGATAAACAGAATATTACATGGTCGCTTGGAGATACGAATGCTATCTTCTTGTATTGAAAATCTCTCACTCCTTCGTTACTCTTAATCGTGAGAGATCTTTTTGACACTCAAAGATAAAATCCATATCTCCGTGCACCCATGTAATATCCTTTATATCATACAGGGTGGAGTGATCCGTGGTACAAAGCTGGGACTGGAGCTGATGTCTTCTGGGGTGATAATCAACACTTCTTCTGTTGCAGGTATTCGTGCGAAACATCTTCTCAGCCCACCCCCCATGAGTCACGTAATGATATTTCACACCTTTTTCAATTTCACCCAATAATTTTTCATATCTTTATATTACTCCGTCTGAACAAA